TAGGTCTTTTGGGACCGGGGTTATGTGGTCTCGGCGGCCACTTCCAGTCACCAGTCTAGTTGCTGCATTCTGGATTAATTGCAGTTTCCGGCTCACCTTCTAAGGGAGTCCCACGTAGAGCGCATGGCAGTAGTCCAAGCGGGAGATAACCAGAGCAGGGACCACTCTGGTGAGACAGTGCACAGGCAGATAGGGTACCAGGTGGAGGTGGTAGACAGCTGCCCTGGACACAGAATTAAGCCCAAACTTTGCCCCAGGAGCAGAATATCCCAAGCTCACACCACACTATAGGAGTCACCCAGAGAGCTCAGAGACGTTGCCATTGCATGTACTCAGAAGACCTTTTCAGCTTTGGCTCCCCAAGATCTGGACCAAGAGAAGTACACTTGGCCCCATCGAAGGTTGGGCGGAAAGAAGCATTTTCTCTACCTAAAACTTCCCAGTCATCCTTAAGGGCAACCCTGTGCACTATGGATTAAGAGTAGTCCATGCTTGAATGATTACATCTCAGAGAAATTGTTGCAGATTCCTCCCCAAGCAGAAGTGGCAGTGCCCACAATGTGGGTCGATTCAATGTTGTTTTTTAGTCGTTTAGTCATGTCCGACTCTTCGTGACCCCATGGACCAGAGCACGCCAGGCACTCCTGTCTTCCACTGCCTCCCGCAGTTTGGTCAGACTCATGTTTGTGGCTTCGAGAACACTGTCCCACCATCTCGTCCTCTGTCGTCCCCTTCTCCTTCTGCCCTCCATCTTTCCCAGCATCAGGGTCTTTTCCAGGGAGTCTTCTCTTCTCATGAGGTGGCCAAAGTCTTGGAGCCTCAGCTTCAGGATCTGTCCTTCCAGTGAGCACTCAGGGCTGATTTCCTTCAGAATGGAGAGGTTGGATCTTCTTGCAGTCCATGGGACTCTCAAGAGTCTCCTCCAGCATCATAATTCAAAAGGATCAATTCTTCAATTCAAAAGCATCAATTCTTCGTCGATTCAATACATATGACTAATTGGTAGAATTCACTGACACGAGATGCAGCAATGGACATGAGCTTGGATAACTTTAAAGGGGAATCAGACAATCTCATGGCGGTGGAAGAGGTCTTATCGATGCCTAACTAGCTAAATGGAGCCTCCAGGGTCAGGGGAAGGCTACATTTGAATACAAATCGCAGGTTACTGTGGGAAGAAGAAGAAGAGTTTGGATTTGATATCCCGCCTTTCACTCCCTTTAAGGAGTCTCAAAGCGGCTAACATTCTCCTTTCCCTTCCTCCCCCACAACAAACACTCTGTGAGGTGAGTGGGGCTGAGAGACTTCAGAGAAGTGTGACTAGCCCAAGGTCACCCAGCAGCTGCAGGTGGAGGAGCGGGGAAGCGAACCCAGTTCACCAGATTATGAGTCTACCGCTCTTAACCACTACACCACACTGGAAGTTCTGGTCCGAACTTATAAACCCCCCAGATACTTCTATCACACCCACAGTGCACCATTGGTTTTGTAGTTTTATGGTTTCCATAAGAAGAAGTTGCTTGGTTTTGTGCATCCATAATGAGGGACGTTGAAGAAGAAGAAGAAGAAGAAGAAGAAGAAGAAGAAGAAGACACAAGATCTACCCACACTGGAGGAATGGCAGATGAAAATGATGGAATACATGGAATTGGCGGAAATGACTGGCAGAATTCGTGACCAGGGAGAAGAGTCGGTGGAAGAAGATTGGAAGAAATTCAAAGACTATTTACAGAAATATTGCAAAATTAATGAATGTTAGAATGACGTTGGATTGAATTTAAGGGGTTTCTAGCTGTACAGGCTAAAAGAATATGGAAAAATTGGTTTTAATATGTAAAATTTAAAATTTAAAGTTATATTATATCAAGATGAAAGATTAGGACTAAAAAGGAGGGAAAGGAATTGTTGGATTAACATATTTAATTAGAATACAAAAGAGGGAGGTAAGAGGAGGTCCGGGAAACAAGTAAATGTAAAAGAAGTGAGGAAAAGATGAAATTGTTTTTAATTGTTTTTTTTCTTTCTTACTTTGTATTTTTTCTTTTTATTGTTAATTTTTTCTTCATTAATGTGGGTTTTTTGGGGTGAAATTTTAATAAATATTATTTAAAAGAAGAAGAAGAAGAAGAAGAAGAAGAAGAAGAAGGAGGAGGAGGAGGAGGAGGAGGAGGAGGAGGCGGCGGAGGAGGAAGCAACAACCCCCAATTCACTATATGCAAGGATTTGCATTCTTACAAGGATACTTGAGGTAAGAGAGAATGTGTCGTGTGGAAAAGCCGCTCTCCCACCTATTTGTTTGAGCTGCCGGACTTCAACAATCTTCACACTCCATCTCCACACGCTGGTGTGTGGGTCAGTGCGACTGCCCCAATTACATGAGCAGATGGAACGGCAGCACCACAAATATCTCCCTCGTAAAGTTAAACGTGTGGTTGTCAGCAGGTTTTCAAACTTTGCAAAGCAACCCGAGTCTGCTCCCTCCCTCCCACCTCTCCACTTTAATTATCTCTTCACCTAGCATACCTGCAGCATCTTTCAGAGGTGTGTGGGGCACATAACTCACAGACAAACCACATGCCTTGTATGTAGAAAGCCAACGGCTTAGTCCCCAGTATCTCCATCAAGAATGGAGGAGGTGGCAGGTGATAGAAAATACTTTTTTTTTTGCCTAAGATGCTCCAGGGATGCTGCCAATCGGAAAAGGTGATATTGGGCTTAATTGGACAAATAGGACAGCTACCTATGTTCCTGCCATATGTTCCCGGACCCATCTTATTTTTTTTCTTCCTGTGCAAAGGTATTCTTCTTTAAATAAAGCATTTATATGCTGATTAGGGACGCGGGTGGCGCTGTGGGTAAAACCTCAGTGCCTAGGACTTGCCGATCGTATGTTCGGCGGTTCGAATCCCCGCAGCGGAGTGAGCTCCCGTCTTTCGGTCCCAGCTCCTGCCCATCTAGCAGTTCGAAAGCATGCCAGTGCAAGTAGATAAATAGGTACCGCTTTATAGCCGGAAGGTAAACGGCGTTTCCGTGTGCTGTGCTGGTGCAGGCTCGCCAGAGCAGCTTCGTCACGCTGGGCACGTGACCCGGAAGTGTCTTCGGACAGCGCTGGCTCCCGGCCTCTTAAGTGAGATGAGCGCACAACCCTAGAGTCGGACACGACTGGCCCGTACAGGCAGGGGTACCTTTACCTATGCTGATTAATCATTAGTACTATATAAGTGATACAAAGAATAAAACATTAAACATTCATTATAAACCCCCCAAAAGTGCCTGCTGGGATATGAAAGTCTTTGCTATGTGCCTGAAGTTTGGCGAGGAGGGTGTCTGCCGAATTTCCATTGGCAGGGAGTTCCACAAGCTTGGACTCATGGCATTGAACACCACATGGCTTCCAGTAGCTTCTTTCTTCACGTGCCCACTCCAAAAGGGCTCCAAACTCCAGGAGTTTCCTGACTCCTGGTAGCCTGATTCTTGGACCCTTGGCTTCCTGACTCCTGGTTTCCTCATTTGTGGACTCTTAGCTTCCTCACCCCTGGACTGCTGACCCTAGACTGCTGATTCCTGATTCCCGACCTCTACCCCGGTCCCGACGTACCAAGCCGGGACTCCAACTGCCTGTAACCCGGACCGTGACACCTTTCACCTACATACGCCTGTATATATAGAGTGGTCATTGATTGTGTGGTGGTGGGCTGGTTGGATGGTAGAAAGCTGGTTGCATTTGATATGTATAAAGCTGTCGGTCATGGTTGGAGAAGATTTTAAGAATAAAACCAGCATTCTACAAAGTACTCTTTCTTAAGGACTCTTTCTGCCAACTAGGGTCTGAGGACCTGGCAAAGGAGGTCAGAACCTTTTCCTTTTCAAACACTGGCAGCAAAAACAGCACAGGAGGCAGCAGTTACAAGTTACCAGCCTCTGCAGAATCATGAAATTGTAGCGATGCAAAGGACCACCTAGTCCAGCGTTTTCCCAAACTTGGGTTGTGGCGTTTGCCTCCTAGAATGGGCCATAAGGAAAGGGTTAAAATAGGTGTGATGTGATTGGCCAGTGAGAATGCTAGGGGGGAATAAAAGGTAGAGTGGGAGGTTTTGAAAGTCAGTTGAGGTTTTGAAGGTTGAGTTGAGGTTTGGGAGTTGAGAGTTGAGGTTTGGGAGTTGAAGAAGGAAGAGGGAGGTTTAGGTGTGGGTTGGTAGAGTTGTATTGTGAGAGAGTGAGAGGAATTGTTAGGTGGAGTCAGATAGATAGTTGGGAATAATCAGTTTGGAGTTGTTAGGAACTAAGAATAAGAAACTGACAAGAGAAAAATTAACAAACCATAAGCTTGTTCCTGCATTTAAAAATAAACTTGATTATTTGTTTATGTTAACAACTGACTGGACTCCGTGTGTCCCCGTGAGATACGGGGTGGTGGCAGCGGAAAAAGCAATCGCAGTGAGGAGCTACCTAAGAAAGAAGAATGGAGAATGAAAATGATGGACTATGCAGAACTCGATAGACTGACTGGAAGGATCTGAAATCGACAAGATCAGAGATTTACAGAAGATTGGAAGAAATTTACAGAGTATATGCAAAAATTAAGTGATAATCAGATAACGTTTGTAAGTTTTAATGAAGCTCTGTGAAAAGAAATGTCAGAATATTATTAGTTAGAAATGTGGAAGAAGTAAAGTTATGAAGGAATTTCAGACAGGCTGAGGGAAGTCAAAAAAGAAAAATGGGATGTAATTAAGATGTACGAATTGTATAACTTTGTATTGGAAAATGAATAAAAATATTATATAAAAAAGAAAAGAAAAAGCAATCGCAGTGGCGGCACAGGGTCAATAGACCGTCAAACGTCTGGGGGCCCTGTGTGTGATCGCCACATGGGTCTCCAGCTCTTTTTGGACTACAACTCCCATCATCCCTAGCTAGCAGAACCAGGAGTCAGGGATGATGGGAACTGTAGTTCAAAAACAGCTGGAGAGACCCAAGTTTGGGAAAACACCGATCTGCCCCTGCAATGCAGGGATATGCAGGGATCGAACCTGCAACCTCAGCGCCATCTGCACCAGGCTCTAACCAGCTGAGCTACGCAGGCAGGCTTCACAATCTCCACACCACACAGATCACAGCATCCCGAAGTTCTTCGGGAGATTTCCACGACGCGATGCTGATTTACGACGGGTTCGAAATCTGCGGCGCCCCCTAAGGCAAGGCCGCCATTTGGTAGAATTCCCTTTGGGGGGAGGTTTCCCTTCCAATTGTACAACTCTACGATTCTAAGTTCTGAGAGGGTGCCATTTTTCTTTTTGCCCTCTGATAATCTCCCCCCTTTCAACTGTGTCATAGGATGGAAGGGATCTTATGTCTCTCCAAGGGAAGCCTGTAAAATTTTCCACCAGTTCCCGGCTTCTCTGCTGGGTAGCACAGGCGTGCTCTGTGCCGGGGATGAGACAGAATAATTTGTAATGTTTACCAACAGCTGTCTGAGAAACACTTAGGTTTATGAAGTGCGCGCTGTAAATTCTCCAGCTGCTGCAGCAGCAGAAAGGGAAAAAGCAGGGGGGGTACTTCTAACCTCTCTCCACCCGCCCTTGTCTTGCAGGAATTTTGCAGGAGAGCTGAGTGGGGAGGAAAGAAAGGAGCATGGGTGGGGGGGACAATCAATTTGTTGCTGTGGTTGCTAAGATGCAGCAAGGAATGCAAGGATTTCTGTCCTGGCCTTGGTCCATCACAGTCAGTGCTGCTTCCATTCCGCTGCAGTTCGTTGTTGTTTAGTCGTTTAGTCGTGTCCGCCTCTTCGTGACCCCCTGGACCAGAGCACGCCAGGCACTCCTGCCTCCCGCAGTTTGGTCAAACTCATGCTGGTAGCTTCGAGAACACTGTCCAACCATCTCGTCCTCTGTCGTCCCCTTCTCCTTGTGCTCTCAATCTTTCCCAGCATCAGCGTCTTTTCCAGGGAGTCTTCTCTTCTCATGAGATGGCCAAAGTATTGGAGCCTCAGCTTCAGGATCTGTCCTTCCAGTGAGCACGCAGGGCTGATTTCCTTCAGAATGGAGAGGTTTGATCTTTTTGCAGTCCATGGGACTCTCAAGAGTCTCCTCCAACACCATAATTCAAAAGCACCAATTCTTTGGCAATCAGCCTTCTTTATGGTCCAGCTCTCACTTCCATACATCACTACTGGGAAAACCGTAGCTTTTACTATACGGACCTTTGTTTTCAAGGTGATGTCTCTACTTTTTAAGCTGCTGTCTAAGCTCTTCCCATAATCTCTGCCTTTTCCTTGTCAGGCTTCAGAATTCTATCACAGTGGTACCTCTGGATGTGAACGGGATCCGTTTCGGAGCCCCGTTCGCATCCTGAAGCAAACGTAACATGTGGCTGCGCGTCTGCGCATGCACGGGTTGCATTTTACCGCTTCCGCACATGCGCATGGTGTCATTTTGAGCATCTGTGCATGCGCGAGCGGCGGAACCCAAAAGTAACATCTTCCGTTACTTCCGGGTAACTACTGGGAAACCGCTGCAGTTCAGCTCCCGCTAAAACCTCAGCTTGCTAACTGCAATGGGCAAAACTCGTGCAATTAATGACGCAACCGATTCCAATGCATTGGGGGGGGGGAGGTAAAAAAACCAACAACCCCTGCATAAAACAACACAATTATTTGCAGACTAAAAAAACCCCAGCATTGGCGAATGCTGCTCATATTTGCAAACAGTCTACAAATACAGTGGTACTTCTTAGAAAACACAAGAACTACCAACAGTGGAAGATTGGCAGATGAAGATGATGGATTTTTCGGAGCTGTCCGACCCGACTGGAAGAGCCCGCGACCAGGAGGAGGAGGAGGAATACCAGGAAGAATGGATGAAATTTAAAGATTAATTGGCTAAATAATTTAATTGGGAAAGCTTGCAAATATTAGATAGGCTTAGGATTTAAATATGTAAGGATAGGATTCAAGATGTTTGAGGCTAATTTAGAAAGAATGAAAGATGTTAAGTGATCAAGTTAATTTTTTGAGAAAATTGATTTTGGAAAACTGTTAAAATGATATATAATGAAATTCAACCAAGGGGATTTGAGGAAGTCACTTAATAATGTGACCAAGATTGGTTTAATTATAGATAGGATGTATGTGTGTTTGTTTGTTTGTTTTAAATTTTTTGGAAAATTAATTGAAAAAATTGAAAAAACAAACAAAACAAATACAGTGGTACCTCGGGTTACAGACGCTTCAGGTTACAGACTCCGCTAACCCAGAAATAGTACCTCGGGTTAAGAACTTTGCTTCAGGATGAGAACAGAAATCGTGCTCCGGCGGCACGGCAGCAGCGGGAGACCCCCATTAGCTAAAGTGGTGCTTCAGGTTAAGAACAGTTTCAAGTTAAGAACGGACCTCCAGAACGAATTAAGTACTTAACCCGAGGTACCACTGTATTCGCATTCTGCAAACACTGCTCATATTCACTCCTGCGATTTCCATTTCTGTCCTCGGACGAACATGAAATTGCAGCAGTCGCCTCTCAGCTTCACTACCCAGCTTCTAGACCTCATGTTTAAAGCTTTCTCAGCCTGGTTTCCCTTTCCTTCCTTGCTAGTTCCCTTACCACTGACTGGAGACGCAAAGCCCTAGGGAAGGAAGGAGTTTCTCCATTACGGAGCCAAAGTACCCACCACCCCCACCCCCAAATTGCTTCGTTTTCCCTTAATGGCCCATTTCCCTTAATGAACTCCCGAATGCCGCAAGCTCCCATCCACCATAATGAACCTTCCTAATCAAGGCACTATATGTGTGAGCATACGTGTGTTTGGAATAATCACCCAACCCTCCTTTTAGGAAACGATGTGCTGGGCATGGCTTCGGAGTTGCCCATCTTGCATCTAGACAACACAAATAGGAGGATCTCAAAAACCATCTGGAAAGATCAGTGCTATCTCCCGCTTGGACTACTGCAATGCGCTCTCTGTGGGGCTACCTTTGAAGGTGACCTGGAAACTACAACTAATCCAGAATGCGGCAGCTAGACTGGTGACTGGGAATGGCTGCCGAGACCATATAACACCGGTCTTGAAAGACCTACATTGGCTCCCAGTACGTTTCTGAGCACAATTCAAAGTGTTGGTGCTGACCTTGAAAGCCCTAAACGGCCTCGGTCCAGTATATCTGAAGGAGCGTCTCCACCCTCATCGTTCTACCTGGACACTGAGGTCTAGCACCGAGGGCCTTCTAGCGGTTCCCTCATTGCGAGAAGCCAAGTTACAGGGAACCAGGCAGAGGGCCTTCTTGGTGGTGGCACCCGCCCTGTGGAACGCCCTTCCACCAGATGTCAAAGAGAACAACAACTACCAGACTTTTAGAAGACATCTGAAGGCAGCCCTATTTAGGGAAGCTTTTAATGTTTGATCTATTACAGTATTTTAATATTTTTTTTGGAAGCCGCCCAGAGTGGCTGGGGAAGCCCAGCCAGATGGGCGGGGTATAAATAAATTATTATTATTATTATTATTATTATTATTATTAAGCTCCCCAAGGCCAGCGAGTCTTCCATTCTCTCTCTCTCTCTTTTTTAATAATGCTTTTTAATTCATTTTTCTTTTTCATTCATTACATACATCTCAAATTCTTAATATTTACTATATATTACTCCCTCCCTCCCCTACAAGACTTCCCCCAACTTGCGTTTCTGGTTTGTTTCTATTTTCACCCACTTTGCTATCTCTCAACAGAAAAAGTTATTAATAGCATAACATCAAACCTAAAAAACAAAAGTAAATACACCATCATATTTCACTATCTTCTGAACATTTTCTGATGCTGATAATGTGAATGTTTATTTAAATCCTGCCATCAAGTCTATTGACTTTCTTTGTTTCTGCAAATATAATATGAATGGTTCCCAATCTTTTTCAAAGTCTCTTTTGTCTTTTTTTCTTAGTTTGTCATTTTTGCCAGTTCTGCATCGTTCATCAACTTCTCTTGCCATTATTCTTTAGTTGGTATTTCTCCAGTCTTCCAATTTTGTGCAATCAACATTCTTGCTGCTGTAGTGGCATAAATAAATAAATAAATAAATAAAGTCCTCATTTCTTTTGGTATGTCTCGACCTAAAATACCTAATAAAAAGGTGGTTTTTTTTTACAAAAGTTATTTTTAACATTTTCTTCAATTCATTGTATATCATTTCCCAGTCGGCTTTTACCTTCTTACAGTCCCACCACATATGATAAGACGTACCTTCTGTTTCACATCTCCAACACTCTTTCTTTTTGTTTTTATACATTTTTGCCAATTTAACCATTCTCCATCATTGCTCAAGGGATGCGGGTGGCGCTGTGGGTTAAACCACAGAGCCTAGGACTTGTTGATCAGAAGGTCGGCGTTTCGAATCCCCGCAATGGGGTGAGCTTCCGTTGCTCGGTCCCTGCTCCTGCCAACCTAGCAGTTCAAAAGCACGTCAAAGTGCAAATAGATAAATAGGTACCGCTCCGGCGGGAAGGTAGATGCCGTTTCCGTGCACTGCTCTGGTTTGCCAGAAGCGGCTTAGTCATGCTGGCCACATGACCTGGAAGCTGTACGCCGGCTCCCTCGGCCAATAAAGCGAGATGAGCGCCGCAACCCCAGAGTCGGTCACGACTGGATCTAATGGTCGGGGTCCCTTTACCATAGGGACGTGGGTGGCACTGTGGGTTAAACCACAGAGCCTAGGACTTGTTGATCAGAAGGTTGGTGGTTCGAATCCCCGCGATGGGGTGAGCTCCCGTTGCTCGGTCCCTGCTCCTGCCAACCTACCAGTTTGAAAGAACATCAAAGTGCAAGTAGATAAATAGGTACCGCTCTGGCGGGAAGGTAGACGGCGTTTCCGTGCACTGCTCTGGTTTGCCAGAAGTGGCTTAGTCATGCTGGCCACATGACCCGGAAGCTGCACGCCGGCTCCCTCGGCCAATAAAGCGAGATGAGCGCCGTAACCCCAGAGTTGGTCACGACTGGACCTAATGGTCAGGGGCCCCTTTACCTTTAATGGTTTCAGATAGGTTGAATGAATGAATGAATGAATGAATGAACAAGGTGTCCAGTGATGGCCAAGCCACGAA